CTGACTAACATGCAGCCATCACACAACGTTCGTCCATTCACTCGGGAACTAGTGTCCGTCATTGACGTTTACTCGCACATCAACCTTTACGACCTGCGTCAATGTCTGTCTCTCTTTCTCTCTCTCGCTGTAGCGAAGTCGACATCGTTTCATCGATAATTAAAAAATGTCACATCTCGAGATACGCTAATTTACTACCCTTAAACACGATACTTTATGAGCGGCAAACCGCGTTATCCGGTGGAACGCTTTCTCATTATATTTTTTTACAACGCATTTTTTATGTTGCTCGACAAAATTAAGTATTGCCAGCATAATAAAAAATGAGCTTTATCGAACACGTTTAGGAAAGTCGAATTATAGACAGAGGTCGCGAGTTTGCATTGTAAACTCTTTGTTGTCAAAATTACACACACATGCATAGATGAATTATTAGTTATTATTTAAAATTAAAAATTAAAATTGTCATTAAAGCGTTATGTCTGATTCGATGTATTTTTCATCCAGATTGCTTGCTAATTGACATTATTCTGTTTAAATTATATACATATTATGTATATAATTATAATATATGTATAACACATATGAAACACATTTTACAGAATAACATTCAGAATAATTGTCATTAATCACAGCTTCACGAATAATAAATATTATGACAGGCTACTTATTAATGCTATAATAAGTGTTTAAAATCTAAGTTAAACTTCTTACAATACAGTTTATATTGCGTTGATTATAATAACATGTTAAACTTAATATTGTGTGTTAATCCATAATTACTGATTACCTGTTTGACAAGATTTAAAGGATATCCGCCGACCTAGATTAAATCCATGTTTTTTTCTTTTCTATTCATAATTATTAATATAATTTAGAAATTATTGCTAATTTTAGATTAAAAAACTGGTTTTTTGTTTTTTCAACTTAGTAAAATAGATATTATTTTTTATTAAAAATAAACTTATTTTTTATATACAATTGGATGAGCAATCTGCAAAAATTGTGCAGGATAGTTGAATATTTTTTATTCATGATCAATCTTATCCGAGAACTAATTTTAATGAAAAAAAAAAAAAAAAAAAAAAAAAAACAGAAACATCTAATCTTGCTCACAATAATGATTCTAACTCAATAAGAATGACATATCTGATATGCAAATATCTGTCCTATTAAGTTCAGCATTTTTGACATTACTCGATCTTTAACTATAAAAAATTAATGAGTATAAATTTTAAATGTGTTAATTGTTATATCTAAAAATCTTATGCTACTCAATCATAGATAGGCAATAATGATAATTCCAGTGATTTTGTACGCAATTGGAAATTTTGTCATGTCGTAACAACCAATCTTTCATGCCGTACAGAGTATTTCTTATCCTTCGGAAAGAAATCGGCAAAGGTCAGCAAAGAAGCTTCGTGGTTTGATTAATGATACGACAATGACTTTTGAGGATCACACATCTACGACAAAGAAATGGCTTTATGTTACTATGTACGTTCTATACATGTCATCGTGCGCATATGCATAAAGAAATTCGCGGGCGTGTCGTTACGACAATGTATGAAAAGCACGAGACATTGTCTCCTACCATGACCTACTGGCACACAAACAATGCAATAACCAAACGCCGATAACCTTACTCGTTATCGAATATCTTCGTTAACAGGTACCTCATCACGCATGAAACTAAAAGTGATCGATGCAACTTTCATATTTCTTTCTGCTAACACATGGAACTTTACACACACATCTTGCATTATATAATAACTGATAAATATTATTGAAGATAATGCAAATCAAGATTCAATAAAGTTCTCAATATTTGCATGTATTAGTTCTGTTTACGATTAAGTTTCGAAACATATTCAAGAATGTTAATAAAGTCAATCTAAAGAATGTGTAAAATTATTTAAGAATAAAAAAAATAAAAAAATTAAAAAAGCGCAAAATACATGCGTTAGTTCAAAAAATTGTTATATGTATTTAGAAATTAGCGTTATTTTAAATTACAAAAATAATGATATTTAAAAAACGCCAATTAAAAATATAAATTTTTAAAAATATTAATTAAAAAATAATATTAAATTAAATTTAAAATTAATAGAAAAATTACAAATTAGAAATTAATTAATACAAACATTTAAAAATGTATATAAAAATTACAAATTAATACAAATGAAGAAATTAAAAGTTTCAATTAAACTTGACGTTGCTAAACTAAATAGTATATTGCAATTAACAATATGCTATAATGAAATATAGTTCTATAAATGATCTAAATTAAATTGATTATTTATTGAGTTAATATATACTTTGACATATTTAATATTTAGCAGTGCCAAGTTTTTTTTTAATTAGCAATATTAGCATATCTCTTACGCAAGGTTAACACGCAAAATAGTGAAGTGTTCCATATCTTTTTAAATGCATTATAAAACTGTATTTTTATTTTGTGAAAAACATTAAAACGTGTATTGTGGACATTTAATGAGAAACGCATTAGTGTGTTATCTTCTATGTGACAGACTAGTTAACTTGTCCACACACGCACACACACACACAACGAATATCAACGTAACGAGCGTTTATTGTATGTTAAACAAACAATTTAATCAGCGTAATAATTGCATTTCATGTAAGTGTATGTGTGTGTCAATTTTATGGTTATTTCTGCAAAATTGCAAAATACGATAGTGTGATCATATACGTCGATTAGTATGTATTGCGCGATAAAAAAATATCTTTAACAGATGGTTCCGCGGCTTCCCGTAATTACTGATGAGCAGGAGAGGAATCTCTATCGAAAGGAAATAATCTTGTTTACGCTATTCCGATGATTGGAATACAATTACAGAGATTTTATCAGAAAAATCCTTTTGATCTAAGCCGTTAATGCAATTTATTCTTTATTTTGCGCATTATCTCAATTATTCCTTTAAGATTTTTACGCTTTTCGTTTTAGGTTCTTGTCATATCAACTGCGAATGAATTTATATCGTGCACAATAATTATTCGGTATCGTTACGGTCTTGTGAGCACACGAAATTAGTTGCTCTGAATGTGGCGGATGTCCGGTACGACCTTTCATATCTTTCTTTCCCTAGAGAGGCGCGATTATTGATTAGCGCTTTTTCGGTTTATGTTTTAAAAATATGCATATTTTGTAAATAAACAGATTAGTATATGCATATATTGTATAAAGTATATGTATATAATATATGTCATTCGGTGTGCAATAAAAAACTGAATATTTTATTTTATGAGAATAAACAGCATATTTGATAGAAATTTATCTGATGTATGTTACATAGATAAATGCTAGCAAAATATAATTTTATAAAACTTGTATTTAGAACATGTTATATATGTATGCATATATGCATACAGTATATAATGTATACATACGCACATAGTGCACGTGGCATTAAGTCTAATGTCTTAAATCGTGAATCAGGACAACAAATTCCAATAAATAAATGTTTATTTATAGTGGTATAAAGCAATGACACAGTTCATAGCTCTATTACCGAACAATGGTTGTCACATCTACTTTACAACTTTTATAAGCTACTTTTCACGTTGGCCTCGTTCGCATTGCACCCATCGAATGCGTAGAAATTTGTTTTCTATTTTAAAGTCATACCCTCATACTCTTTGTGCCAATATTTTTCTGTTGAATTATTTTGTTCTAATTTAGTTTGTGAATAATATTATATTTCAAGTATTATATTTTAGTATTATTATATTATATATGTATATTTAGAATAAAAAGCGAGCAAAATTTTATTTTTGTAATAATAAACATTGTCTCAATCTTTTTTTACGTTATTATGACCAACTGACCGATATTTGATTTTATCATAAAAAATTTAACATAAAATTTATCATAAAAAATTTAAAATAAACGGTAAATTTATGTTTTGGGAAACATCATAAACAGCGTATCTTTGAAACTCGTAAAATCGATTTAGCCATGACACACTTGGCGCTAATTCTCCAGCCAGTTCCGAAGCGCACGTACCGTTTACAATTTTATAGAATAATCTAGCTCTGTTACTGATTATACGCTCGTATTGATCATGTTATTGCCAAGTTGACAACTCGTTGAAAGGGAAATGTAAAATAATTTGTCTTCATGCGATTTTTCTCTTTTTTCCTTTCAAATAAAACCTGTTTTGCGAACGTCTGTCACGCAAAACGACGCATCACTGTTTTATTAATATCCGTGATACTTCGAAATTAACCAGTAAATCAGCGGAGCACTTCTCAAGCGAGTAATCGTGCGTGTGATGCAAAAACACTTTATGATCATGACTAATACTTGTGTTAGAGTCAAGGAAGCGTCAACGCTTCCCACATTTAAGTAAAAGTGAAGATGCTCGAAAAGAGAAAAGAGCACATCTGGTGGCTATACCTTATACTTCCAAGTTCATTCGCACAATGAGGAAGTCCGAACGAGAATGAACGATTGGTTTCGTCCGTTTTTTACGGCACGAGAATGATGAATCCTCATATAGTCACCATACCGTGATTTATAGACGAAGTATATCACGGATATTTACTGCTAATAATTCATTCTTGACTTATAATATAAAGCGCTTGGATGAATACGTAATTCTTAGTCAGCATAACAATTGATCTATATCCCTTTTTAAGGCATTTATGTATATGTAGAATGTTTATTGTAATACGCAAAAAGTGTACTTAAGATATATTATTTTTTTATAAAATATAATAAATCATTATTATACAACATTGTACATCTTTATCTTTGCAATTTATTGTTTATATAAATCAAATATATATAACTAACTTTTATATAAAAGAAATAAAAGATATTTGACACATAAATTGTATAATGTATAATATTCTACATAAATTAACAAATGAGATTCTATTAGTATAACACAGAAACAATTATATTTATATATACAGAATATTTCTCTTTACACAATTAATTTATTTATTTAAATTAAAGTTGATTTTTTTTACAGATGGCGTGGATCTGTTTACAAGCTAATTTGGCGAGAACTATTGGCGTATCTGTTCTTCTACTACCTCATCAATTTTACATATCGATACGTACTCAATGACAATCAGCGGGTGTGAGTATATATGTATATTTCTGAAATTAAAGAATAATTAACCGTAAATTTCATTCTTTGCGAGGGAACAAAAAGTTGGATCTTGTTTCAAGCAAGAAAAGGTATCTTTTGTAATAAAATGCGCTTTTATATTGACATTAGAGAAATAATGCAAGTCATTGAAATAAATTTTCTCGTTTTGTATGACAATTATTTCGATTATTTTTATACATAATTTTAATTATACGAATATACAATCGTTTCGGAAGATAGTACAAGACTTAAACTCAAGGCAATGCGGGACAGAAAACATAAATATATACATGCACATATATATGTACATATATACATATACATAAATACATAAACATATCTATAAAATTGGAACCAGGTAATCTTTATCTCTTGATCGTGCAAGGTGAACAGCAATAATATTTTGCATTTTCCGTTATTTACCAATTCATTGATCGCATTTTTATCATGGAACACTGAATTCAGCGACGTTATCCATAATCGGCCAACTATGGTGCGTAGTTGTATCTGCTATTACTGAATTTTATGGATGTAGATAAACTCGTACAATAATAACCTTGATACGTCGAAAAAACAAATCTGAAGATTCCGATACTTCGATCACGGTCGCGTTTCATCGACTAACGTTTAAGTAGCCTCTTTTTATTCATTATTGCATTTTTTGCAATGCAAAACACTCAGTAATCTTTCTTCCGATTGCCGTCATAATGTCCGATCAGTTTCTTATCGATTGTAGCAGAAGTAAACAACGAAGATTTATTATACATTTGAATGAATAAAATAAAATATAATTTTGTAAAAATTTATCTAATATTATATTCTGACAATATTAAAAATATGTAACAAGATAAATACTTTAATATATACAAGAAATATGCAATTAAAATATTTAAATATACATGTAACAACAAGTATAATACGTTTACATACTTATCGAATTGTGATACGTGTATCATATGATTATATATATGATGAATTTATTTTATATTATTATATTTATATTATATAGTATTATATATATATATATTTTTTTATATGATTATAGAGTACTATATTTTTAAAAAGATTCTCTTTTGATACGCCCTGTATGAGAGACATCCTGATATATCATGGAACGTGTTGGAGATGCGTTTGTGCCCGGTATTAAAAAAAGCATAAAAATGTAACCTGTTATTTATGTGAGCCTGAACAAGAGAGATAAAGAACTGAAGAATGTAAAAAGATTTCACCTTTAAATCATTTCGAATCCATGCTAAATTTAGAACTGTAGGGATGGTTTAAGACAGGTTTATGGTCCAACGATATCTAAAAGACTGAGCGATTCAGCATTATAGAATAGAATTGCACGTGATGATTTATGAGATTAATCGTTTTTCGTTAAGGCTCTGAAGTTCTTTTCGCGTTTAGATTTATCAAGAATTATTTCCCTTTTTACGCGATTATAAAAAACTTTTATCCCTTTCTATTATTATTTTCTTTATCTAAATAAATCGTGTATGTGTGTATGTGCTGTTTCATATAATATATTACTTTAAAAAATGTTTTTACACTACGAGATTATCTTTGGATGTCTTGCATTCAAGGGAAAGTATTTATATCGCTGTGTTTCAAATAACTACGCTTGATTACCAATATCAGTTTCTCGTGGCCATGATATTGTACGTTCAGGTAACGGTAAGTCAATATTACCTCAAGAGTGCGAATGCGGTACCAGTTATACTCGCGGAAATTCCAACATAAACCTACTTACCGGAAGATCCTGGAATCGTGTGTTAATCGTTCAGAATTGATGTGTGAAGTCGTAAAGATGCATGTGGCTACTTATATGTGGTAATTACTTTTCTTTAAAACGATTCATGCAAGGCAATAACCAACATTGTATGAAAGGAAAGAAAGGGTGGAGAATCAGACTTACCTCGAATGCTTTCAATCAAGTAGATGTGCGTTTTGCTTGCGATTATTTGCAAAAACAAAAAATTTCTATTTAATATTGACTAGCATTTAATACTAATACTAATCAGAGAATAAGAAGGTAGCAATATCGATGAGTGACAGTATCGTCTTAACCTTGCTTTACTTATGTGCAAGTTTATATAGAAAATTTTACTTGCAATAGATTTGAATATTTTAACTTGAATATTTTATTTGAATATTTTAACTTGTAAATATTTTTATAAAATGAGATAGAGAGAATAGTTTAGCTTCTTGCTATCCCTCGCAACATTTTTTATAACATTTCTTAATTATATTATTTAACAAACATGCCTTAACTTTATGATTTAATATTTAATATACAAAAATTTTATTTGCATTCTTATTAAAATAAGAAAATATGTAAAATAAAGACTGAAATGATTTCGCTTGTGCATATGTATATGGGAAAGATTGTATTTCAAAAATATTTCTTTTTTTTTTGCAGAATTTTCGAAAAGATCCGTTATTATTTCGGCAACTCCAGCGAATCCATACCCATGTCATTCGTTTTAGGATTCTACGTGAGTCTTGTTGTAAAAAGGTGGTGGGAGCAATACAAGCTCTTGCCCTGGCCAGACAATCTTGCCCTCTTCATCAGCGCCGCTATTCCTGGAAATGTAAGTAGAACCTGCCCATCGAGAAGAAACTTTTTTGTTGTTTTCCATTATGATTAAAAATACCGAGGCAACGGAGCGTTTTTCTTGGAAGTATAAATGTTGTTCTTGTTCGCAAACTATTGCAATAAAATAAAAATCCATTAGATAAAAATCTAAAAAAATCTTAAGCAAAGTCTTTGTAACAAAATAATATTTTTTTTTACCTTTAAATGGGAAGACTCACAGTGGCGTTAATAAATGTAGCCTTGAAAGTCGCTCGCGTTGCGCTCGGTCTTATTACGTTAATGAATTGCCGTGACACGTTTTGGTGTCGTTAACCTAAGTAAGTGCCAACCTAGTCGTGCGACGCCCAGCAAAAAAAATGTGCAAGACGATGATCCTATAATTGGCAGTTTATGACGGATTCATCTTTTCGTACCTTTGCATACTTAATATATGAATATGAAAAACAAAAAGCTCCTAATACACGATGTATTATTTATCAGAACCTTGGCATACATTTTTGTTCTATTTGCATGTATAATTAATTTGTGATAACTAGAGATAGCGATTTAAATTTAGTAATAAAACTTTTTCATTTTAAGCAAAATACAATTATGTATATAATTTAAATATTTGAAACTAATATATAAACTAGAAAATACATTTTTCAAGTTTATGTATCTTTTTTTAAAATTATTCTTTTTAATCAATTGTATATATTTATAAATCGGGAAAACACTGAATTATTTTTTCAACTCTTTAATGATTTTATAGAAAGCTTCAATTTGAAGCAGCAGAGCGAATTCAATGCAAGCTTTCAGCTCTGGTCAATGACTCAGTATCGGAGTGAAAGTGCAATGTATCATGGCGAAAAAGAACCTACGATGAACCTACGCGTCGAGTACATTTCGCACATACATATGAGCAATCTGTTTTTTACTGATTCATTACTTCGTTGGTAATCTAAATCTAGTAAAATATATGTAACATCTACAAATTGATCAAGTACGTGCGCATACCGACACACACATACACATAAAGTGTTAAACTTACATACTTTACATAGATGACATATAACCCTCAATTGCTACCGCTGTTACACTAATAGAGTGAGAGTCAATCAATCATTGCTAAATGATTTAATCGTCTTGTTATGTAATCTTCCCTCTCTTTATCTTTTCCTTGTTTAAATCAGTATTAATTTCAGATATTAAACTGAACGGAATACGCATTCAAAATGCAATGATTTTTGAGAAAGTATCAAAAGAAAAAGCGGTTTGATTACATTATGTCCTGCTACGTATACAGCTATTTTTGTGAAGATATTATTGTAGATCTTTAAGGAAGCTGTCGCGCGCATTATATGATTGCAAAATGCGATGAAACTCTGAAGATTTTTATAGACATGGTTATCTGATGTTTATTATTATATACATTACAGCGTCGGGAAAAGATACAAGCACTTGTGCTACCGCATAAATTTCGCTGCATTCCGTTTGTCACCTTTTGACTGTCATTTCATTTTTGTGCGAGAAGCATTATCATGTTTATGTACTTCTGCAGTCGATAATTCATGGATTATTTGAAAATTTTCCACTTGATACGTGATAATGGTTTTCATGTTGATCAATAAATTTATAGATTGACAAGAATATTTAATGTATATTATACACAGGTAAAATTATATTAATGTATATATATGTTAGAGAAAGACATTCATATTGCATATTACATCACTTACGTAAAGTTAAAATAAGAGAATAATGTCTCGTATTATAATTTATAATGATTTCTAATTGAAATACTTTGAAATACTAAAATTGCAAGATTATTAAGAAGTCTTCTTCGAGTTGCCGTAACTGATTGGTACGCTGTTTCAACGAATTTTCGATTCGAAACGCAGCATAAGATGCATACAATTGCTTTGCAGTGCAATAGATCTCTAGAAACGAGGAGCTCTGATGGAATTTTTGCACGTAGGTAGAGGACAAGGTCCTTCAGCCACGGAATAAACCCACAGTTACATCCAGCAGTCATGTAATCGCGTAATACAGTGTTCGATTTGTGAATGAGCAGTACCGCAACGGTCAACACGGGCTCTGCCTTTCATTGAAATCTAATTAGGATGCAAACCCGGAGACGAGACTGTCCGATCATTTCCAAGCTACCGAGTCGGGCATTTTTACACGTGCGACGGTAAATCGCAGAATTCTGAGGAAGGAGGCTACTCGTCTCTTGTACGTGTAAATGAAAGATAACTAAAAGACCATTAAGAAGATAACGTAATGTCCGAAAGTCAGATGATGACCCTACTCAGGAAGGCCAGAAATGCAAAAAAAAAAAAAAAGAAAGGAATTTGATCTTTTGAATTAAACATTGTTACTGTTTTGAAATATTTTTTAATGTGATTGTATAATTGTAATCAATAATGCTTGGCGCAATCTTTTACGAGAGCTCTACGTGCCTGAGAAGGTTTATAGCTAATCAACGCTATAAGTAAAGAACGCGAGGAACGTCCGTGGAGATAGTCAATTAATTTGTGATATTATAAAGAATCGACTCGGCACGCGTATCTCGTCTGTCAGAAAGAAAAAGACACTTTATAGTCGCATAAAGACAGGCCCGATATCTTTTATAATTAATCCATATCTCAGCATCAATTAAACATCCAAGTAATGTCAATAGAAAGTGTGAAATAATTAGCCATTATAAGAAATACGTTTATTTTTAACACAAATTAAGCATATTTTGTACATAATTGATTTTTTAACGCAATAATTTTATTTTATGTATATAAGATTTTGTAGAAAGACCTATACAATATATCTCGATTATGCAACTATTTGGCAAACAAATTGAACAAAAAACTGGCTTTTTATATTATATTATTTTGCAATTACAATTTAAATATACGGAAGATCTCTATATCGATACTGTTCTCCATTTCCGATCAACTTAACATTCTGCCAAGCAATTGCGACCGTCGGTGGATTATAAAACGCACGATCGGTTACAAAAGTGCACATCAATGTCCAAGAACAAAAGGAAAAACAGCTGGCAGGCGCCACCAGGTATTCCGTGATTAATACTAGAACAGTTTAAAACGGTGCATGCAGTAAACGTGATCGCGGGGGCGGGAGCGTTCGTAATGTCGGGCCAAGAAGACAAAGGGAAAGTATGTACGAGACATGAAAACGTGTCTAGCATTCGTTCGGAAATCAATTTTGAAGTCAACGCCATTCTCGCCAATACCGATTTATCGCAAATTCACGATTTATTTTTTTTACTGAAGTAATTTTTGTGGATTGTTACGTATGGCGCAGCTGAAATCTCTCTCATACAATTTAATTTCTTGAATTAAAGGAGAATATAATTTACCTTAAAATTATTTTTGCATATCTTACTCTTTAAACTAAAAAAAAAAAAAACGTAAAGATTAGCATATTTTATAAAATTTCTTTCGGAATACATATGTCTCATGTCTTTTGGAATATATATTATTTTATTATCACCATGTATTAGCTGACTTGTTTAGCTAAAAGCAATTCTCATTTGTTTTAATTATAGTAATTATATATATGTATATAATGTTAGAAGATATTTAATCAGTTATTCAATTTATTATTAGCAAAAGTATTACTTATGCAAACCATATAAATGAAATTTTACAGGAAAATACTGAAGGTTTATTTTAAGTTTATTAATGAGCCATATCATAAAGTATAATTAACGTTCATTTGTTTGTCTGTTTTAGGATGAACGGGGGCGGCTGATGAGACGCAACATCGTAAGGTATGCTGTGCTCGCGTACGTCATTACGCTGCAAAGAATTTCGCTTCGAGTTAAGAGGCGTTTCCCAACACTTCAGCATATGGTGGATGTAGGTCAGTAAATTATATTTTCGGAATATATGTTTAACAATATTAACATGCGGATACTCTTTAAAGATTCTCGCTTTCCAATATCTTCATAGTATGTAATATTTAAAACATAGCAGTTATATATTTTACAAGTTATTCTCGAGAGCTACTATTTGCTCCTTTTATTATCATTGATGATCTATTAAAAAGATGAATCAAATTGAGAGACAAAAATCTCTCATTATATAATTATGATTCTTAACTATCAACTATTAACTATCATTCAACAGTCTGTAATATAATCAATAATTACAACACAGACAATAGTACATTGTTTAAATTTTTATAATTCGTTAGTTGTCCAGCTATTCTTGCCACTGATGAATGCAACGGATAAAGATAATGTCGCACCTGCATTGCTTTCTTCTTTGTGCTGAAGCTCACGGCTTTCTTATCACATTTCCTGTCACCGTTTCATTAGTCGGCGCGTGTCGGCAAACAAAGCCGTTCATCACGTCATCCATAAACATATATAATATATAATGCTGCTTCGCTACGTGTGTCATGATGACGCAAGGACAAGGATTTGGTATTTCTGTCATTTTTGCCATCCTTCGAATGCAATCATAAACGATATCTCGATCATTAAAGATCCAACAATTGTATTAATAGCAAATATTACACAATTGCGAATATGCGCACAGAATCTGACGCATATTCACAAATCATTCCGCAAAATAATGCAGTGAAACAATGTCATGTGTTTTAGTAGTTAGCGCATTAAACGGTATTTATTGTTAGCGGCAGACATTGAATAAAACGCGCACAATTGATTGTTTTTTTCGAATTATCAATTTTTATTATCCGGACGTAAGATATATTTTCTAGATTGTCACATTATCTGATTTATGTTTCCGCAACATCGAAGTATCGTCTTCTCTAAAGAAGCCTGCATGTCGAGATGTTTCGCTTTTTTTACCACCCGGCTGTTGCAGCGGATGCTTCTCCGTTCCAGAAATAGCTTGCATTTTTTATAATGACAATCCTATGAATGTTCTTTGAACATGAGAATATCGTCCATTACTCGAGTAGGGAATAAATGGTGGAATCTAGGATAAGAACCCCTATTCTTTTTCGTAGAAATCACTTTATGGCAATGCCTCGAAAGAAGTACGATACGTTTATGTGGCAAAGAAGCTCGCTCTCTCAGGAGCTGAACAGGATCTAACGAGAAAACAAGATCGATCTATAACAGTATACTCTGTGATAATTCCATTACTGCATGTGCGAAAAATGCATTAGATCTTTCCATAAATAGAACAATGTCATTTTATTTTATTTTATCGGAAATAATTGTTAACATAAAGAAATATTGGTTAAATGATGAAACTAAAGCTAAAAATGGAATGCCAAGAATTCTTACGGCACGTGAATTACAAATACATATAACAATTCACACGTTGTGCAAGCAAAACATTATTTGTATGCGTCTGAGGAAAGAATGAGGAAGGCGTGTGTGTAAAATATTACAGCTTTGATATCAGCAAAAAGGATAAAGAAACATTTTCTGAATTCTTACATTAAATTGACACTTACCGGTAATTATCGGATATGATATATACATGTGTACATTGTTTTGATGTTTTTATATTCTTAAATTAATGAAAATAATTAGAATATAAAAAGAATAATAAATGTAACCATATGCTTTTGATCTATATTTTTAATGTATTCTAATATATGAAAAATATATTCAATAAATAGATAACTAAAAATTAAAATTTTTAATATAAATATTCGAAATTAAAAAAATTAAGCAAATAGAAGTATATCGAAAAAGTAAAATAATATAAAGATATTTGCTTCTTAAAATACAGTTTTATAATATTTTTACACATAAAATGTGAAATTTTAAGTTAGAATAATGCACAAAGATGTTGCAAAGAGCTATGCATTTATATTAAATCAAGTAGAAAATATTTTTTCAGATACATTCTTTTTCTTTGCCATTTTTCTTCTCCATGTCTTTAATTAAGATATATACAAAATTGCACAATAAGTCATGTAAAGCATTCATGGAAAAAAAACGTGAATAATAAATTTCGCAAAAAATGACCGTACTCAACACATGTCTTTCTAAAGAAGATATGCCGATGCAAAATTGCAATTGACGTCATTCAAAATAATTTCATGCATGCGTGTGCACGGTAAATTATATATGGTCAGTGACATCAATGAAGTATTGTCAAAGACACAAAATAACGTATACGTTTATTCACACACATATAAGAAGCACATGAGCTAAAAACCAATTCTAATAAGAAAATAAAAAAACTTATAATTTTTATATTTAAAAATTTTAATAATTATTGCTAAACAAATAAAATAATTGTGAAAAAAATTAACTTTCAAACTCAATTGTTACAGATTTTGTATATATTTAAAATATTCATATTACATATTTTAAATGAATATTTTGCAATTGCGTTTGATATTTGATACCGACAAACTCAGCGGCGAAGTTGTTCGCGAGAACAGAAAGTCGCCTTGTTGCGTGTCTGCAACCGAGAACGATCGCGCGAGATTATAAATATCGAGAAGAAATCTCGAAACGTCTTTTGAAAGTAGACAAAATGATCCGTATGTACCAATTCTCCGGGGAATTATAATCTGAAAATCGTCGGGCGCCACGGCGACACTTCGCTCGCACGCCGCCAGGCAATTTTCACGTGCGTTCAAGTAATTTCAACGATCACTACTTCAAGAGAACCGCTTAGAAATGCGGAGCGCCGGCGCCAGAGAACTCTTCGTCTTTTTCCTTTTCCTTTCCGGCATGTGATCTCCTTGTTTTGCAGCGTGGCCGGACTTGCTTCGTTCGAGCAACATCTCGCTTCTTTTACTTCAGATATCGCGAGCAGACATTGCAGCAGGGCTCCTTCGTCCTCCTTCTGCTATATGTTTTTCTTATATATCGCTCTTTTCTCATCTTCTATACAGAAATAACTCGGTGCGATTACGAGCGATCTGGTAAGCCAATGCCATGCGTGCTGTTCGATAAGATAATCACCGGTCGCGTCTTCGATTTCCTCGAGAAGTCTTCCTCAAGAAGTCTTTCTGCAGAGCTTGCTCCTCTCTTTTCTCTTCACTACATCACTATTCATTGATTTTCACCGTTAACGCGCGATGCGTTCTTTCCTCGAGCACAGATATCACTTAGCCATTTCAAGAGCACGTGAAACTCGTGCATTAATGATGTGCCACGTATAGGTAGCAAATGCATCTGCTAGCAGATTAATGGAAGGAGAGAGGAGGAGTGCCCAGATAGAATTATAATTTTTTTCACAGAACGCCTGTCCATCAATCCGTTCCGAGGCGGACCTGTTAGATTTGTCGAGAGCAATCGTCCTATTGCTCTGTCGGATGAAACTCGGCCGCGAGCGATTGTGGAAGTTATCTTGGGATCCGTAAAAATCGTTGCAGTTAGATTGCGCGAGACTGGATGTTAAATATAGCCAGCGTAATGGGAGCCATAATCTAGCCGCGGCTGCAGGTGGTAATCGGCTAGACTCCTCGGTATCACGCTGACGATACGCGTGTACGTAGCCATTTTGCTTCCCTCAGCATCTCTGTCAGTCACGGAGGCTGTAAGAATCGCGCTGCAAGTGACCATCATCATCATCATTATTATCATCATCATCATTATCATCAAGATCGTCATAATCATCATCATCGGTGGCTTCCTCAGGCTGGGGCCACGTCGGCGAGAGCAGAGCAAGAAACTCGTAAAAGTTCGTTTCTTCCCTTCTTTTTTCTCTTCGTCTTCCTCCGCTTTTTCCTTCCTCTAATATAAGTTCGTCGGACGTAATACGCTGATGTGCGCGCAGCACGCGTTACCTATATTTAGAACAAATTATTGTCTCAGGCAGAATTTCTCCGTGATTATATCGAACGATCGGCGCGGCGGCGCGGGCTCAATCGGCAAGAAAATAATTACGTCCGGATATAGTAGCTTCGAGAGCACACACTTCCATCGTAGATCAGATAAGGTGGAAAAAACGCTGGCCGGTAGCGGCGGATTTTAAAAGAATTTCACGGTGTAATCGAAGCAAAATAGAAGAAATCTATGAGATTAATTAATCTTGCAGAGTATAGAAAAGTTATATGGGTAACTTTATGCGCAATTATACGCATAGTAAAATTGACGTAAATTTTCCCGCACAGCGGATGTCATAAATGACGGATTTAATCTAGAAAGGAAACAATCGAAGTCCAGTAATGGATGTTTCACGGATAACGGATTCCTTCGCGGTTTATTCGTAGAACTCTTCGACATTCTCGAGTTCCTCGAGAAACAGTTATATTGTACGACTGGGTCACGTGAACCCAGTTATAATCTTCAACTATGCGTTATCTTGAAAAAAGAGTGAAAAATCTATTTAATCTAAACTTTGTTTCAACGTAACGTTCCGTAGAGATCCGGCCTTGAGGAAGGTCGGATCTTGACCGTGCTCACCTAAATGAAGGAAACGAGAGAACGAGGAGAAACGCGCCGGACTCCCGGAATATAAGATTTCTTAATCGTTTAACGGCCGTTGAACCTGCCGCAACACATGAGATTATACGATGCATTCCCCCTTTTTCCTCTGCACGGGCTAATTTATTCGCGATGCAAAAAATTGTGAGAGAGTAAAATTACGAAATTTCCGATTATCATATATAAAACGAGAAATATTTTTTATATCTTTATTTAACCGCACGACAACCGATTATTCGGTGCTTTTATTGATAGATGGCAACATTTTCTCGCGTTCAAAATTAATCGCGTCTTACAGTTAATTAAACATTCTCATGCACGGTGTCATTGCATTTGCAACTACATAATTAAGGATGCGAATCAGTTAGACCAGACATTGGCAAATTACAATTTGATTAACGTTGTTTGTATAAAAGCTTCGTTTCGAAGACAGAACAATTAAGAATGCCAGTCACTTCTTTTACTGATTAGTCTACAGAATGTAAATTGA